TGCTGGGTCCTCGCTCTACAAAACGCTGTAAATACCGCCAAAAACTGCTGCGCTGAGCGTTGGGCTGTTGTTCTGTCCGTTTTGCTTTTGCTGTGGCTGGCTCGCGTGCTGCGCGGTCCTTGCTTTTTTCGCGTTGTTTTTCGAGCCTTCTGGCGCGCGCGCGCGCGACCCCAGCCACAAAACGCTGCTATTTACAGTGTTTTGTTGCATTTGCGTTTCCGGCCTGGCTTGCGGGCTGCTCTTTTTGGGCTGCTTTTTTTTGGGTCCTCTGGCGCGCGCGCGCGCGCGCGACCCCATGTCAGCCTTCTGGGTTGGGGCCTGGATGGGGCCCAGAAAGCCGGCATCCCCGGGATTATCTGGGTAACCTAACCAGCCATATCATAGCACACGCTACGTTTCTCATGCAAAAACCATGACATGACCTGGCATAACTTCAAAGAGGCGTAGCCGGCTAGAGGCCGCAGGCCCAGAAAATAAGCAAAGGAATGTCGACAGATTCATCAACCTTCGTGGGTTGTTGGGGGGATGTGCCCCCTGAATGTCAAGAATCTCTTCAATATGGGGCACCCCCATCAGTTCAACCAGCGGTCTATATACTCCTGGTTCCAATTAAGGGGTCTCCCCTATGTGCCGTCCATTTTTTGTGCCCCAGGACAAATTGATTGAAATCAGACCAACACCAGGCTTCTAAACCAACCTCCAGCTCCGCTTCGCTTGGTTTCAGAGGAAACTAAAGACAAACAAACAAACAAACAAACAAACAAACAACCAAACAAACAAACAAACAAACAAACAAACAAACACGCAAACAAACAAACAAACAAACAAACAAGAAAACAAACACGCAAGCAAACAAACACGCAAACAAACAAACAAACAAACAAACAAACAAACAAACAAACAACTAAGCAAGCAAGCAAACAAAGAAACGAGGAAGCAAACAAACACACAAGCAAACAAACAAACAAACAAACAAACAAACAAACAAACAAACACACAAGCAAACAAACAAACAAACAAACAAACAAACAAGCAAACAAACAAGCACGCAAACAAACAAACAAACAAACAAACAAACAAACAAACAAACAAACAAACACGCAAACATGCAAGCAAGCAAGCAAGCAAACAAACAAACAAACAAAACAAACAAACAAACAAACAAACAAACAAACAAACAAACACGCAAACACGCAAACAAACAAACAAACAAACAAACAAACAAACACAAAACAGCTTTTGCGGGAACCATCATTTGGAGGATGGCATGTTTCCGGTAGCCGTCCTTGAACTGCCATCATGTTTCTTTTCAGATTTGGGAAACGCGCAAATGATCTTGAACATCCGGACTCACATCGGTCTCCTTCAGTCATACTTCCAATTATCATCCCGAGGAACATGCCCGGTTTGGGAAACACCTAGATCTGGATCCCGCCCACCAACATGAAACTCCCCCTTTGCTCCCTCTCCAAAGGAGTCTTCCAAAAGGGTCTGTGCACCAATCTATGCTTGCTGGTCGGAGGACAATCTATCCCTTGGCACTTTGCTTTAACACTTCCCCCCGCAACCGCAGATGACTCCTCGTAGGGAAAGAGTGGGAGGGCATCCATTCCCAGTGGGGTGATTCAACCATTTTTCCTTCTGCAACGGCAGTTTAAATCTATCTTGGGTTGTGCTCGTAAATTGCCACAATGTCCGTTCTGCAAGGAGCCTTCAGCACAGGTTTGCTCATGTTGCCCCTTGTCAACCTAAGAACCGCAAGGTGCCACTAGTAAGAACCCTTCCTGAGACCTGGGGAGCCTTGGGCTTTCACTTCTCCTCCGCGGCTCCGGCAGCCGCAGCCCCTTCCGAAGCGGCGCCTGCAACACGCATACCCGGAACACCGAACCGGCACCCGCTTTTGCCGGACGTCGGGCGCGGGGGACCCCATATGCCTCGCCGGAATAAATAGAGCAATCAAGCAGAGAAGGAAGCACCCTTTAAGGGAAACGTACCACAACAGTTGAAGATGGAGATTCGTCTCATCTGTCGTTTGATGCATCCGAGGGTTCGGGTGAATGCCCTTCCAGGTGAAAAACATCAGCAGTCATCCTCTCTGGCAGGTCCCTAGTCCACGGGGTTGGGGATAGATACACAAGTCCGAGGCTCGATCAGATTTGAGTGGATATCTCAGAGAGGTTGCCCGAAGCACTTTCAAGCGGTCGAAAAAAGCAAGGCCTACAAAAAGCAATGTTAAACCCGGGTTCATCAAGCCGGCGGACTAGTAAGGGAATAGTTCCACCTCAAAAAGAAATGAAGAATCAACCAGCAAGACGCTATGTTTTTCTTGCATCCGTCCATGTCCATGTTTGCCCCTTTTTCATCAACCAATTGAACCCGCCAGCCCGCGAATTCTCCGCCTTCATCGGCGGCCTGGCCCTTCTCCGGAGCGCCATCCGAATTGGACGCCTGCCAATTCGAAGCAAGAACAAAGCTGTTCCTGCAGATTTGGGGCCTCGGAACTGCAGATGGACAATCAGTGCACGACCCGAGTGCATCTTCAGAAACGGCTCAGGTCCTTTCGCCTGACTGATGGAAGCTTTCAAGGGAGGCTGTCTTGGAGGACTGTGATTGACCCGGCTACGCACAAAGGCGAGCACAAGGGGCCGGAAGCTTTTGTGGGAAGTAAACCATCGCACCATCAAAGAGCATGCAAACAAGAGGGCAAATGAACACGAGCAAACAAAGAAGCAAACCAACAGGCAACCACAAGGAAAAGAGAAAGATAGGCAAACCAACAAACAGAGAAGCAACCCAACAAGCAAAAACGCAAACCAAAGAGCCAACAAACAACTAAAAGAAGAAGCAAACCGACAACAAAGAAAGAAACAAAGAAGCAAACCAAGAATCAAGAGGCAAATCAACAAGCGAAGAGGCAAACCAACAAGCAAACAAAGAAACGAGGATGCAAACAAGCAAACAAACAAACAAACAAGCAAACAAGCCAGCAAACAAACAAACAAACAAACAAACAAACAAACAAACAAACAAGAAACCAAACAAAGAAGCAAACAAACAAACAAACAAACAAACAAACAAACAAACAAACAGACAAACAAACAAACAAGCAGAAAACAAACAAACAAACAAACAAACAAACAACTTAAGCAAGCAAGCAAACAAAGAAACGAGGAAGCAAACAAACAAATAGTCAAACAAACAAACACACAAACAAACAAACAAACAAACAAGCAAACAAGCAAACAAAAAAACAAACAAACAAACAAACAAACAAACAAACAAACAAAGAAGCAAAGAAGCAAATAAGAAACAAACAAACAAACAAACAAACAAACAAACAAGCAAACAAGCAAAAAGGCAAACAAACAACAAACAAACAAACAAACTGTCAAACAAACAAACAAACACACAACTAAGCAAGCAAGCAAACCAAGAAACGATCAAGCAAACAAACACAGAAGCAATGCGATTTGCTGGACTGATTTGGACTGGGCTTCCAAGCGCAAAAGCGGGCGCCACCGTTTGCCCAAACTCTCGGGAGAACCAGCTCTCGCCGAGGCCTGGCCGCGCGGCAGCCCTACAGCCCTAAGAAGACACGGGCCAACTGACCTATGAGACGGAACCCGAAGAAACTCCCCTCCCCATGTCCAACTGTTCGGAATCTCATTTTGAAAGGAACCCCTTTTCCTGATGAAAATGCGGCATGTCCGCATGTGCAAGCTGGAAACCTAAGTCTAACAAGCGAACCCAGACTATTGCAATGCAGTGGGACCATCCCAGGATGGCTGGGAACCTAAGAAGCTCCCTCCTGGGCCATTAGCCCCCTGACAGGGGACTCCGCATGGTGATTTGTCTTTGGGGCACAACTGGTGGATGATGGGAGTTGCGTGCAGACTGGTTCAAAGGCCAACAAATCAAGGAAGACCAAGGAAGGCTGCGTGAGCGGTTGGGACCGACCCGCAGTAGACGCATGTGCTTGCTGTAGCGCATCAAGGCGGCATGCAAAGCACGGAGCGAAGGATGTTAGACGCCTGCAGAACAAAGAAAGAATCAAAGCCAGAAAGCCAGAAAGAAAAGAAACATATGCACAGAGTCCAACCAGGGACGTGATTGCCCAGCAAATTCGCGGAGAGGACCATGGGTACTCAACGTTGAACAACCCAAACTAAGGTTTTCTCCAAAGGACCACCCTGCCGTGTCTGCCGGCGCCTGGCGCAAAGCCTAGGCCTTACCAGGCGCGTGCAGCGCACCACGCGCAGCATTGCCCGCCTAAGCGGCCACCGTCAAAGCGCCCTATGTGGGTCGTGGTCATAGTCCCGTATATTTCACGGAGATGGAAAAGGATCTCTGCAAATGGATGTTTCCAAATGTGAAAGTGAGAGGCATGGCTTTCTTTCCCAAATCCTTGCCCTAGTGGTCAGGGGTCCCTACTTTGGGGTTGATGACCGACTACCCCCCACCAAGCCTCATCGATTCTAATGAATCCTGGCCACGTGGCGCGGGCCCCTCCGCCAGCAGCTGGAAGCCCCTTTCACGGCACCTAATTACTGATCTACCTGCTACCCTTGAGCCAACAGATATCCGTGCCATAGCCCGGCCGGCCCAGCATCATATCAGGCAGCGCTCCATATAAGACCGCATGAATAGGACACCTTCCCCCCTTTCAGCGATGATCATTCATGGCAGGCAAGCAGGTAACAATGGATACAACGAGGGATCTGAGGATAGTCTATGCCGCGGGCACGATTTTCCGCCCAAGTGTGCTGAACGTCCAAGTGATAAGTGGCTGGGAACCCCTCAAAGATCCTTGGTGGACCCCCGATACAGAGCACTGCACTCAGATAGTCTTCGGGAAAAAGGGCGGCTTTCAGTGGAGGCAGAGTTCACAAGGGTCGATTCCTGCAGCATAGGCTATCCTCAGATCCCCCGTTGTATCCATTGTTACCTGCTTACCTGAGACCCACGGATGGGGGCAGAGTAGCGCTTTGTGTGCGGGGCACTTGGGCAGACCGCAGTCGCACAGCGGGTGCGGCTGCCCCGTGACCGAGTCCTTGTCGTGATTCTGGCCCTGGCGGCTCTGCAACTGGTGACCCTGGCGATGTGAAACCTGAATTATTCAACCTGGTGAAACACAACAGGGCGGTTCCTCCAAAACGTGAAGGATCACCTTGGAAGAATTGGAGGGCCCCTTCTGAATCAACATGAATCAACCCTGTGATTATTCATCCTGGGTCCCCATTGGAAAAGTGAAACATGTTTGGAGGCCAGCTGGTCATTCTTAATGAGGAACCCACCATACAAAGGGTTGGGATGCAGTGAACAACTATGGGTCAGCAGAGACATGCCAACTCTGGACTGGTGCCAAGGTTCGTACCACGCCCAAGCCCAAAATCCAAAAAGGCAAGACTCAGTCAGCTTGCATCTGCTGACACCTGGACCCATTGCAGTCGAGGTGCACAAATGGACGCATGCTGGTTTACGCCTTGGACACGCAGCAAAGCCACAAGCGGAGCAGTGGACGCGCGTCTGGCTTTCCAAGGGAAGAGTGCCGCCTTTGAGATAGCCCTAAATTGCTGCCTGTGAGCCCACCAGTCTGTCTGTGAGTCCACCACTTCCAACAACAAAACACGTGAACCCGTTTTGCACGTAGCCCTACTTGCAAAATTTAGGGCCTGGGCGTGTCTAACACTACACCCCTCAAAAGAAAGCATGGTGGCTTTCCGCGTGTTGCTGTAAACCTGCCCCACAAGGGTACCAGCTTCAAAAGTGTAAACAGGGGCACACCCCCACGGCAGCACAACGACCCCTTCAAAGCTGTTTCAGCGTCAAGGAGCAAAAGGCACAAATCCAGTAGCAGTCCATCAAGTGCCCGCTCTCGTCCAGAATCTTCTCGACGATCCCGATGTCCTGTGAGCCATGGTCAAAGTGTTCTGCGGTTTCCGCAAAGGACATGGGAAATTCAGTGGGTCCCCTGGCTTTTGCGGGGGAAGTTTAATTCTCCCATGTCCCAAATTGGACCAGAGACTAACTACAGGTTTGCACTTCGCCAAGTAGTAGAGCCCGCTATACATTTGGGACGTAAACTGGGCACCCCCACTTCCAGCAAGCCTCTCAATCCTCAGCCATTCTTCATAAAGTAAGTCAACCACACCAAACCCTGATGAACTGCAGCAAATTGCAAGGCGTCTCTCGCTCCCTACTTGATATATCTAGGGAATCAGCTGCAGAAGGCCCTGCAATCTGGGCCTCACCCCCTGCTCACAAAGCCCAAGTACAATGTCAAACTTTGACAAACGCCTTGGTTGGCCTTGCAAAAAATGGGTGGAACTGGTTGCGCAGACAGCCGAACCTACGACAGATTGCCACAAAGGGCATGCCTGCCGCACGTGGAATTGGCAGCAGTATCCTCACAACCGTGGAATGTGTCATATCACGCTACGTCCTGCGCTGCTCAATAACGCGCAAGCCCCAACGGTGCAGTGCAGTGCTTCAAAACACGTGATGTGGGCTACGCTGCTAAGCAGGGTAGGCCTGGGTAGGAAATATAGGGAAGTGCTGGGAAACGAGCAAACATGACATGGTCCAAATGCACAATCGAGAAGGGCTGCAATGCTGTAAAAAGCTTTGCCGTATTTGTCATTCGCAACCCTCACGCGTGTGTTTCCCAACCCCCAACATGATCTGACTGTGGCATGTAACGCCTCGGGCCAACGCCCCAACTGCAACATGTCCCCGGCCTTCTGCATCAAGCGTGACACCAGTCCATAGCTTGACTCCTGCTCTCAAAGTGAGGCTCGAAAAGGGGCAGGGTCAAACAGGCATGCGCCCGTATCAAGGTTAGGGGGCGCCTCCAAACGGTTGCTTTGATGTTCTTCCTCTTCAGCAGCAACCCCCAATAAATAGGTCTGCATTTCTTGCACACGGCTAGCTGAATCTCCGTGCATTGCAGTGCCAAATGTATGAAACAAACTAGCACATTGGCGAGCTCACTACCCCACAGGTGAGCTCATGACCCCACAGGTGAGCTCATGACCCAACAAAACAAGCTCGCCCAAATCACAGCACATATCATTCTCCGCGATGATCTGATCAATTGGCATGACTCCTCCAAAGCATCTGCCACAACGGCGGCCACAAGGTCGACGAAGCGATTGCCCCACCAGTGCCTGGGTGAAGCGAGGTTGACCATTCGCCTGCTTATCAGAGATGTCATCCTGCCGTCTATCCAAAGGATCTGCACGACTGAAAGTGGAAACCAGATTGGATGCATGCCCATGATGCGTGATGCCTGTGGCGTGCTTGCAACTTCACCTACAATCACTGGGCTCAAGCAGCGATCTGCGTGCCAAAAGGAGCTTGGGGCTCCCGGTGTTTCAGCCTTGCAACTTTTTTGGCGCACCTTGCCTGTGCCAGGTGAAACTAGGCTGGGAACCGTTGCCCAACCGGCTCGTCCAAGTTCCTTCCGGGCCCCCTCGCAAAAACCATAGCCTTTTCAATCTTCACTTTGGTGCCTCCCGTCAACATTAGGTTGGTCCTTGACCCTGCAAAGTTTAGCATCTTCGCCGGTCAGCAGGGAGACCATCCTTTTCCTTCCAAAGTTACTGGTTAAAAGTCGAAGGAGCAGCCAACAAGAGAATGACCCAAGCCGAACTCAGACCTTCGCAGCTGCGGTCAGTCGAACCGGAACTTCTTCTTTTTCTCCTCGCACCTGGCCTCCACCACAGACCTCGCAAGGCAGCGTCTCAAAGCCGCCCCCAAGGGCGGATTGTCGGGAAGTCACGCAAGTTTCTGGTTGGCATCCCGCACTAAGGGACCTTCATGGGCTAATCGCTCGCCTCACTCACTTGAAATAATATCCGTCCTATTTTAGCAGCGGACCCCTCAATTCTAATTTGGGCGCACATCACCGCAATCCGAGTTGATCAATCCGCCGCCCCAAACCCAAACTCCACCGAGGGGCGGCTCCATGGGCACAGGCTCCACACACCTCTGCTGCGCCGAGGCGACCACCTCGTCCAGGAGGCTGTCCTGCCGAATGCCTTAACTCCAAGGGTTGGGTTACAGGAGAGCCTACAGGAAAACAGTTTGGGGTTTGGTTTTTGGGGGGCCATTTCCGGTAGATGTTCCTGGAAACTAAACCTTTGCTTAACCCACCCCCCACTTCCAAAACACACGAGAGAAGCGGTGAACAACTGACAGGAAATCAAGCGCCGAAGGGAACTAAACCCTTTTGGTGCATGTTCAATCTGGTCCAAGCCAAGTCGGTTGAAGGTCTCACGCTCCGCTGCTTGTGAAAAGGACTATGCTGGGAGACCCCTGTTCTCGGTTGGGTAATGGGCGAACTTGGCTGTAGTATTTCCTGCTGGCTTATTTTATGGAATCAGATCTGAAACGTTCAATGCTTCCCGCAAACAGCAGTGTGTTGGGCAGCAAGCCGGAAACTTGGCCTATCAATTGCCGAAGATGTTATTTTGCGCATCTCTTTTGACATCCCCAAGGTCGAAGAGGTGATTTTCGCATAATCCCATGAACCTTTGCTAAAACGCGTTTTAACCGGCCAGAGTGGCCCTGAGGATGCAAAAAGGGTTTCAAAAGGTCCCGGAAAGTGGAGGGTAGAAAGGGACATCCTATCACTCCCAATGCTAAGGGCCACATCTTCAATTCGGCGCCCGCCCAGTCCCAATTCGCGTTGCACTCTGGCAAAGCGAAGAAGTAAGCCTCAGTCATCCAGAACAAAAACCCACCCCCTTGCGGACTCCAAAATTTGATTTGAAACACATCCGCTGCCTTTAGCGACTTTCGCGAGCCCCAACCCGTCCAGCACACTAGCATCGTCATTCTCCAGGAAGTCCCTGACCTTACTGCCAAAACCTCCAAAGCAGTCAGCTTGCTGGAATCCGCACTGGCACATGAAGGTTCTTACGGGCTGGCGTTCTCAGGCAAGGGACCCTGATTGACACAAAACATGTCAAAGGTGGAAGCCTTTGAGACCCGGTGGCCAAAAGATACATTGCCAAAAATGGCGGGGGGGGGGGGAACCGCTGCCGCGTTCAAAGGTCGCAAAACTCAAAAAAAGGAGGGGCGAAAAAAAAGAAAGGGAAAAACGAGAAACAACAAAAAGGATCCGTTCGGCGAGTCGACCCCAAACGTCGGCCCGGCCCCGAGTCGCCCGGAGTCGGCCCCTTTGGCTCGTGGCCATCTCCCCGATGAAGGCGCAGTCCACCTGGATCTGCTGCAGCCCGAACTTCCCGAAGCTCTCCTCGCGCACGTACTCGAAGAAGGCCTCGCCCCCGTCGAGACCGGAGACGAATTGGACGCTTCACCCGAGTGTTTCCACTGCGCTTTTTCCCGGGCCGGGACCCGTTTGGTCGGAAAACAAGGGGAAACAAGAGGAAAGCGAGCGTTTGATTTGCAGTTGCCAAACCTATCTACAAGAGCGAACAAAGGAAAATATTCAGGAACAAAAGAACAGAAACAAGCAAAAAGCATGCGCTGGTCAGTTCGATGCTGGAATGACCACACCAGGGGTTGCGATCAAGCTCCCAGATTTGCTCAAAACAGTATGGCCATCAGGTAGAGTTCATCTGACGCTTCCTTGACGTCTGTTCTGTCGGTTCTGACGGTTCAGAGTCACCTCGGGCATCTCTCACGCTTAACCGAAACGTGGGAGCCCTACAAGCACCAGTACCAACAGCACCGGCACAGCCAAATAGGGAGGTTCAGATCAACCGAATTTTGAAGCTGTGTTTCCGCCAAGTCTTGCGTAGGGGCCAAGTCCCAACCTGCCAGGAGAGGTTTGGGGCACACCCCCGGGCACCATGAGCGCAGTTAGCTCAGTTTACATCATTTCGCCAACCTGAGCTCATTTACTCCTCTGGCTGGTCAATAAGGCCATGTCGAACCTAGCCAGACCCATCTGGCAGGTCGAAGATCGCCCGCATCCCGGCCTTAAAGGCGATACGGAGGATGCCGAGGATGGCCCCGTTCCGATTGAAGGGGATGGGGGCATAGACCTGGAGCCAGCCAACCCCCGTTTTGCGCTTGTCCGCACGTTGCGTTCGGTTGGGTGGGGGTGGCCCTGCGGCGCAACCTGAAAAGACCCCGGAAAAAAATGCACCGCCAGGAGTCACCGACAAGGCCGCGAAAGCGACAGTCGGCCAACACGTGTCACCGGTTTCCCCCAGGGCATGCGCCAAAGGCTTTGCATCGCTAGGCTCGCCGAATGCTTGGCATCGTGCTGCTTGCTTGTGCCATGCAAAACATGCCCAAGTTTTGACTGAGGCCTGGTCTTCTCTGGTTTTCAATCTGCCAGCTGGGTCCCGCCACCGTATTCCTTGGAGCCTGGCCTGCTGCAAGCGGGGCCATGGGCCCAGCAATACTTTACCCTCCTAAAACGTACCCAACAAGCGAATCAAAAAGACTTAGACTTAATGCCAATGCCGAATGGCACGGCCAAAGGCGGCAAAAACACATCCTGAGCCCGGAGGACCGTTAAAAACAACTGACCCTGGTAGAAAAAGAATTGGAAACCCTTTGGGGCCGGAGATCAAATCAGCTTACAAGTGACACATGTCATCAAAATGACATGCACAGCTCCCTCGCCTGCAGCTTTCTGGCCCAGAGCCTCTCCACCTCCAACTCCATGGAGTTCCTCATTCCAAACCCCCAGCTTCGAAAGCCCTGGCGCCAGAATCTGGCAGAAATCCGACACCATGCGGCTGTGTCAAAGGGCGATGTTACACGTTGGCCTCAAAAAACAGTTCATCCCCAAAGAGAAGCCAAAAGGATCTTTGACCTGAGTGAAACATGAAAATCCTTCCTTAAATCTGGAAATGGATCCCTCGAAAAGGAAACCTTCGTCACGGGCGCGAGGTTGCTGGTAAGATCGTCAGAACGCCGAGTGGCTTTTTGACATTTCCGGGACCGTCCAAGCGGCGTGAGTGCGGGCCACCTTTCAGCAAACATGTGCTAGGGCGAAACTAAACCCGCACTTCGCTGTGCTGACAAGCTGAGCCAAGCTGCTTGAATCGGTTGGAGCTCCTGCGATGGTCACTGCCTGGCTCGTCTTGCCCCTTGGGGAGCCAAATAATGGAAATGGCCCTCTCAAGTAGAACGCCAGCCTTTGCCGCAATCTTCTTTGGGGGGTTGTGCGAGACGTTCTTATATACCGCCCTCACCCCACCAAAAAAAAAGGAAACGACACGACAAAAAACTCTCATCTTGAGCTGGACCACGAGAAATAGAAGATCGTTTAGATTTGGAGCCCTGCTGCCCCAAACCTCAGGGGGGTCCCAAGATTCTCGGCCAATGTGGCTCCCAAATTCCCAGTGAAATAGCCATGGCTCTCCAAGTTTCCCAGTCCGGGGGCCCTTTGCGGCTGGTCCAAAACTCGGCCACGGCCACGCCGCAGGAGTTTGGCCGGGGCGCTCTTGGGCTTCCGGGGATCCCCCAGCAGCCGCGCCAGCTGCGTGTCGAAGGCCCGGACCTGCGGCGCGCGGCTCGTGTTATCCGGTTTGTCCATTGCACGTTTAGAGTTGTCGGATCCCTATGCATGTAAAGAAAGATGGGCTGAAACATATGCATGCACATATGTAGATACCATATGCTCTGCATACACCAAGCGCGCCAACTCAGGCAGAATCAGCACTTCGTGCACCCTTCCAGCGCGCACTCCCGGCACTCCCCGGCCTCGCGCAGGACCATCTCCACCACCTTCCGGGGTTCCTGGGGCTCTCGGACCTCGACAGGCTCACACTCCGTCGCACAGTCAGCGCCGGAAAGGCGGCGGCGGGATTACACACTGGCACCCGAAAACAGGACGCGGGAAAAGCCGAAGAGAGGAGGGACAAGAGGGAAGGGGGAAAGGGGAAGATTCCCAGGAAGATGATAAGGAGGAGGACTAGGAGGGAAGAAAAGAGAGACAGAAGTAAAAGAAAGAAGTAAGAAAGAAAGAAAGAAAGAAAACCAAGGGAAAAAAGAAAAGAAAGCAGCAAAGAAAGAAGAAGAACCAACAAACAAACAAACAAACAAACAAACAAACAAACAAACAAACAAACAAACAAACAAACAAAAACAATGAAACAAAAAGAAAGAAAGAAATAAAGAAAGAAAGAAAGAAATAAAGAAAGAAAGAAAGAAATAAAGAAAGAAAGAAAGAAACAAGGAA